CATTACATTTGATGGTAACTTGGGATTTTTAGCATTACCGGCGCTCTATCTAAAGCGAAGATTATTATTTCACACAACAGCCCGGAGTCGATATCTGTAGAAAAATATGTTGGGCGTGGTGGGGGGACTGTGGGGTGGGGGGCTGGTGAGGAGCTGGGAAATGAGTGTGAGATCTTAAGGAGATTATCATACCTTCAAAAGAGCGAATTAGTGAAAGAAGCTTTCAAGGAATGAAAGGTACAGCAGAGGCCTCCAGGGGTGGAAAACAGCCTCTGATCTAACCAGTGCAAGCATGTTGTGTGTTCAATGGAGGATTTGATGAACCACTCCCTCAATAAAGCATATTTACCGAAAACTGTGAACAGAGGGATCAGAGGGAAAGGTCAGCGCGGAGTTGGGTAAGAGGCGGGGGGTGGGGGTGGGGAGTGGAGAGGAAATTAAAAGGAAATCAAATTTTAAAAAAAACACCACATACGGTTCAGAGGTTTTAATCTCTTAGTCTAAAAGCAGAAAGGTACGGTTTAACCTGCTTCTGGCTTCTGACAGGTATTGGTTTGCAACTCGACACAAGAGATGTCCGTCCGGCTGAGCTAAGCGCTCTGGGACACTGCCCTGCGTGAGGGGCGCTATATAAATGCAAGTTGTTGTTGTTAATCGCTTCAGGAGAGGCACAGGTTGGGAATGAGCAGGGAGTGAAGAGAGAGAGAGAGAGAGGGGTGGGGGTGGCATAATGTAGGCTGATCTAGTGACCCCCACTCTCCTCCCACCTCCTCCCCCCTCCCCGAAAATGCTGCATGTTCCTAAATCCACTCCTGCGCCCCCCCCACCCCCCCCCCCCCCCACATTGGTGGCCGTAGTTTCAGTCACTAAGGTTCTGCAGTTCCTGTCTCTAGCCCTCTGCCTCACCCACCCCACCGCTCCCCACCCGCCCACCCATCTATCTTTAAATTACACTTTAAAACCACACTACCCACCCTGTGTGAAGGCCACTGTATAAATGCAAGTTGTTGTTGTATGTGAGAACTTTACAAAGTCCTATGTAATGTGTGTGTGTTTGACGCACGTGTGTGTGTGTGTGTGTGTGTGTGTGATGTGTGTTTGACGCACGTGTGTGTGTGTGTGTGTGTGTGTGTGTGTGTGTGATGTGTGCTTGACGTGTGTGCACACATGTGTGAATCTTCAGTAATTAGCGCTCGGTGCGATGTGAAACGCAATGTCAATCAGCAAAGCTCCCCCCCGTCAATCAGGTCTCACATTCCACCCTCTCCCATACCCGCCCCGTGCCCCCACCCAGTGGGCCCAGGAGTGGGTGGGTGAGCGGAGGGGGTGGGTGGAGAGTGGGGGGGGGGTGCCGGTCGATGGGGGTGAGGTCGGTGGGTGGGGGCGAGGTCGGTGGGTGGGGGGAGGTCGGTGGGGGGGGTCTCCCTAACCGTGCAGCAAACAAGAGAGGAGAATGTTGAGTATTGAGTAAGTAACAGGTAGGAGCAGCAGCAGTGAGGGTAGCCTGGGGCCCTGGATTCCTCACCCAACACTAAAAAGCAGCTCTCAATTGGTGACGTGCGCCTTCACCCGCTGCGAACATTCCTTTGCTCTTGTCTCCTGACGCCTGACACCACAAGGGTTACACCGGGCGGGGAATTCACGCTTTGCATGCCTCTGTCTCTCGTAGGAACAGGAGGAGGCCATTCAGCCCCTCGAGCCTGTTCTGCTATTCTATCAGATCGTGGCTGATCTGTACCTCGACTCCCAATTGCCTGCCCTTGCCCGGTAACCCTGGCTTCCTCGATCGAGAGGCGGGAGAGGACACGGGGAGCGGAGGCGATCTCCATACCTGCTAAGAGTCCTGAGCTCCCCCAACTCACACCCTCTCCCACACACACACACACACTCCCACACACACGCTCCCACATACCCTCCCACACACACACACTCACCCTCCAACATGCACTCCCACACACCCTCCCACATACACACCCTCCCACATACGCTCCCACACCCACACACACAGCACCCAGGAACTTGCCTTTTCATAACGCCTGTAATGCCAAGTGTCTCGGAGTATTTCCCAGTAATCGCTGTCACACTCACTGTACGGGTGCAAGGAGGGGGGGGAGAAGGTGTGGAACAGGGATTGTGGATACCTGTAATGTGGTTAGAGAGCTCGCCTCGCTAGCGAGAGGACCCGGGTTCAATCCCTGGCAGGACAGGACACAACCTTAGGCAAGTTTCCTTACTGCACACACACACGCCTCTGTTTCCCGAGCAGTAAGTGGGAACTCAGACTTGTATCCCTATGGATAGTATGCGGTGAGCTCTGTGTGGGTTTCCTGTCATTTTCACCTCTCTAATTGGTTGCCAAGTGCCAGACTCAGTCAGGCGCGGCCGGTTATTACAGCCGGGTCTCAGAGGAAACGCTGGGCAATGCTGTGTGTGGCCGGCAGCCGAACAGATGCCTTGTCGCAACCAGCAGGATTCTTAGCAACATGAGCCCTGAGCGCTGGCTGCTTCTAACTAAAGCTCACGGCCAGTCTCAGCCTCAGTCCCAGCCTCAGCTCACACTCACTGTACCATGGAGCTCACTTTGTGCATCTCACAATCAGTGGTCACCATGGCTCTGTAATGTCAACGGGCCTCCAAGCCGCTTGCTCTCAAGTGGAGTGACTGTGCATTTGTTGGTGCTTGTTTTAAGCGCTACAAGACAGAGTCCTGTAGCTCAGTGGTTAGAGCACTCGCCTCACAAGCGAGAGACCTGGGTTCCATTCCCGGCAGGGGGCGAAACCTTGGGCAAGTTTCCCTACTCCACACACAGCCTGATAATAATCCCTCAAGAAAAAACCCAACAATAATAATTTGGGGAGGATTGTCAGCCAGAGCCCCGGGAGAAATGTTACAATAACATCTTGATAGTTAGGAGGGGAGAACAACAACAACAATGATTTATATTTGTGCAGCGTCTTTCATGTCGGGAGGGCGTCCTGAGGCCCTGCACCAACAACTTGCATTTATATCGCGGGAGATACTGTCTCGGAGCCTTCATCAGAAATAATTAGCAGATAGTATGAAAGAGTCCCATTAGCTTTAACTAAAAAGGTTTAAACAGCAGCTTGGGACGCCCTCCCAATGTGAAAGATGCTTTACAAATGTAATTATGCTGTTGTTGTTGTTGTTGTTAATTATCGCTATGTGTTTGTGTGGTTTGACTCTCAGAGGGCCAGAGGCCTGTGATTTCAGCCCTGCCTTCCTCCCTCTCTCTCTCCCTCTCCTGCCCACCTGAACTCAATCACTCACTCTCACAATCTCACAGTCTCTCTCGTGCTCTCTCCGCCATAATAATTCCACGGGGAGGGATAAGGGGAGAGTGAGGGAGCCAAGAAGGAATGGAAGATAAAAAGCTTGGTTTGTTCCAAGCTTTGGTGGAACATGCACCCGGTTGGACCTGGTACTAAATGTTGGGCACTTTTATCTCTACCAAACTCTGGCCATCCGCCCACCCACTCCTCTCTTATCATTATCATCACATTCCTCAGCAAATGGCTTCTCTCCCAAAACCCTCCCAGCTAATGTGTGTGTGTGTGTGTGTGTATATGTGTGTGTTTGTGTGTGTGTGTATGTATGTGTGTTTGTGTGTGCACGTTGGTTTGGAATCTCACCTGCCAGTGTTGTGTGGTAGACCTGAAGGCCTGTAGCTATGTCTGACCACCAAACTCATTCTCTAGCCCGGCTACAGTGATGTCCAGTGGAGTGAGCTGCCTCCCAATACTGGGGTTCACCCTCCACCACTTTTTTTTCTTTCTCAGTTTGACCAGTCCAGGCAAGAGGACATGGGTTTAGAGTTGTAAACGGGGCAATTTCTGGACAGATACCTGGAAAGTCTTCTTTACCCAGAGGGTAATTAACAACTGTAATAGGGGGTGGTTGAGGCCAGGTCACTGGGTCTGATTTAAAAACCACAGCTCAACGATGTGATAGTCGGACGGTTGTATGTTCTGGAGGTGATGAGATCAGAAGGGACTTCTTCATCCGATATGATCTTGTGAACGTTCCTGACATTCCACCTGTTCCCAACCCATGAGGGCGTTTTGTCTTAATATTGAGAATTGTAGGATATGAGGAAATCCAGCCTCAATTTTGGGGGCTGTTTTCCTGCAGCTCTTTAAAAAAAACACTTCCAAATCAGGAGGGAACTGTGACAGGGAGGAGGGCTTCCCTGCCAACCAAGGTCTCTGCTGGTCATGAGCGCAAGGAGACTGTGTGACCAAGTCCCTGTGCTATGTGTGTCTGTGTGTTTTTCTCTCTCTCTCTCTCGCTTATTTGTTAGGTATGGATAATATTTGTTAGGTCAGGGTATCAAGGGATATGGGGCAAGGGCGGGTAATTAAGTTGAGGTACAGCTCAGCCATAATCTTATAGAATGGGAGAACAGGCTCGAGGGGCTGATTGGCCTCCTCCTGCTTCTGTTCCCCTATCTACACCAAGTGGGTGTAAATAGTCACATTCTGCTTTTGGATGCCAGTGTCACAGCCAGTTGGAATGGAAGAACTTCCTCAGCTTCTGGGAATCGAGCAGTCAGGCAACCCTCGGCCTTTATTTTTAGGCCACATGTCTCACTAACCTCCTCCCCCCACTCCTCTCCACCACCCCCCCCCNACCCGCCACCCTCATCACCCTTAAACCCTAATTATAGATCGTTCCACGGCAATGAAATAAATGTCTGAAAGGAGAGCTGCTTGTTGTAAAAATATAAAGTTGATGGGAGGGGGCTTTGTTTATATCTGTTGAGAACTGAGCTGCTCATCAGTCACGTGTCCTGGCAGTGAGTCGTTCACATACAGTCTAACAATACAGCACCACATTTACATTGACCCAGAGCCTTGCACATTGGGAGGATGCCTCAAAGCCCTTGACATCTCTAGCTGAGCACCTGAGCTCGGGGGTGGGCTGGGGGTGAGGGTGGAGCCTTAGTGGGGAGGGGGCTTGGGAGGGGAGAGATAACTGTAAGGATGGTCAGAGAGGTATGTGGGGTAACTTGCCCACAGACTCCTCCAAAACTCTGTCCCAGGATTTATAATGAAGTGTATTGTAAAGTGAATGATTTTATCTGGAGGGATTGTTGATCCGGACACCAGGAGAGAGAGAGAGAGAAACTCCCATCTCTTTTCAAATAGATCTCGTGGCGGGATCTGTGTCCAACCTTTAGATAGAGCACAGGCACACGGAATAGGAGGGGGTCTGAAAGGGTTAAAAATGATGGCAGCTTTAGCTCAGACCGCGTCCCCACCAGGGCCGAGAAGTCTTGTCTCGCCATCTCTGTTGTGACTGAAGCAGACGATGGCCGCGCTCTGAGTTGGATGTGTTAAACACAACACTGCCGACAAATGGGCTGTATCCTCTTCCTCCGGATCACATTTCCTCAGCATAACCAGCCGGCAGCTAGGAATAGGCCGAGGGGCTCCGAGCTGGGGTCTGGGAGCCGGCATTGATTAATCAGCCTGAGTTCACCCAGTAACATCCCAGATCAATAATATTGTTATTAATAATAATTATTGATAATAATTGTAACAACAACAATATGGACCTTCGTTACCTGACTGTGATTTGGACTCGATCCCTCCTCCTCGCCTCCTCTCAATCCCCATCGTCAAATCACTCATGTGAAAGCTTTCCTCTTCGATCAGGTCTTCCCTCACCTCCCTGTTCTGTCCACTTGGCTTCGCACTCCGCCATTGTCCAGCGCTCTGACACGTGTAAATGCAGGCTGCTGTTGCTGTTGTTGTTGTTTTGAGACCCTGCCCCCACTCTCTGGAACTCCCCCAATCCCTCCGCCTCACCCCCTTCTTCAGCTCCTTCAAGGCCCGACTCAAGAACCGCATCTTCAGTCGCCCTCCTATTCCCCCCCCCAACCCCCCCCTTTGCCCTGTAGCTCGGGTGCAAACCCTTCACTGTCCAGTGCCTTGGGATGACCTCCCGAGGTGAAAGGGTCAATATCGATGTCATTGGGTGTTGTTGTTGTTGTTGGGAGCGCGGCCTTGACCTTGTCTGTTGGTTTGTTTTTGCAGGGCTTTAAGAAGAGTTACGATGGCTTGTGTGACGGTCGGGACTGCAGCCGCGGGTGCCAGTGTTTCCCGGAGAAAGGCTCGCGGGTGAGTGAGCGACGCTTGGCTGCCTCATCACCTCTTGTTCCTCTCGAGTGGGTGAGGGGCTGGGTGGGGGCCGGGGTGGGGGCCAGGGTGGGGGTCGGGGGTGGGTGAGGGGTGCGGAGTGGATGTGATTCCAGTTTGTGTCTTGATTTCAGCTGAGAAACAGTTGAAATTGTGTGATAATCGGGTGGGGGGGGGGAGCCTGGCTCTGACCCATTCCATGTGATAATATCTCACCCAATGCATGTGCTTCACACTCACTCACACACATACTCACGCACGCACACACATACTCACGCACGCACACACATACTCACGCACGGACACACATACTCACACACGCACACACATATTCACGCATGCACACACATACGCACGCACACACATGCACGCACACACGTACTCACACTCATGCACGCACACCATACTCACATGCATGCACCCACACATACATGCATGTACGCACACATACTCACACTCACACACACACATATTCACACTCACGCATGCGCACACATACTCACACGCATGCATGCGCACACCTACTCGCATGCACACACACACACATATTCACGCACACACACACACCTCACACATACACTCACACACACACACACACACTCACTCACATGCACACTCAGACTCACGCACGCACACACTCACACACACACACTTGGTCTTGTGGTTTGGAGACTCTCGACGTGTAGTGACAGGTTTCCACGGCCGGTCACACTGATGGGTGTCTGAGTTGCCCTCCTCCAGACCCGATGAGCAAAGCTGAGCTAACAGAGAGAACAAGAGAGAGAGCGACAGTGAATGACGAAGGAGCCTGAGATGGTCCCAGAGTGTAGCTCTGAGAGATGCAGTGGTTTTGCTCACACAGAGGCTTTGAGTGAGGCGGGTGGTGAGGTTCACAGTTGCTGAGCGCTGGAGCTAACTGAGCAGCTGAAATCACAGGCCTCGACAGTGCCCCAGCTATCGCTCCCGTCAGAGAGAGAGGGGGGGACAGATACACCAGGTGGGATAAATAGCCTCGCCAACATAGGAATTGGGAGAGACGGACTTCCTGAGGGAATATGGATATACACAGGGCATTGCCCAGTTTCCGACTGTAGCAAGCGGGCAGGCAGACAGGCGGGCAGGCAGACAGGCGGGCAGGCAGACAGGCGGGCAGGCAGGGTAAGGGTGAGGGGGCTGTGGGTGGGGTGAAGCTACGTGCTGAGGTTGTGTCCTGGCTTTTGTTTTGGCCGAGGGCCTTGTGTTCTCTCCCAGTCAGTGGCTCCGCTCACAGGCCCTTGTTGTTGTTGTTGTTGTTGTTGTTGTTGTTGTTGTTGCTGTTGCTGTTGTCACGCTGCAGGATTTGTATTATTATTATTGTTATTATTATTATCAGTCCTTGCTTTAGCGTTTGCTGCAGACAGATTGGGACGGGGGTGGGTTGGGTGCGTGTGTGCCTGACGGTGCCTCTGAGCACAGGAATGTCGCTGTTAGTCACGGACCAGGGATTAATAATGGAAGAGAAGTCACCACCTGGTCTCAGCCCTCCCGGCTCCCCTCACAGTTACCGGGGATAAAGAGGGGAACTCTGTCCGTGTATTAATTTAATCGATCGGTAATATACATCACCACTCCCCCCCACCGCCATTAATTCTAGGATGGAGTTAGACCTGGCCAGAGAGAGAGAGAGAGAGAGAGAGAGAGACGTCCTGAATGGAGGGAGTGGTGAGCTAAACACAGGATTCAACACATCCTCTCAGACAATGGCTGTAGCTGTGTGCAGGCCAGTGCTGCTGTTGCATTGTGTTTGGTCAAATTCAGCCCCGCCAGCTCAATGTTACCTTTGCTCCCGTTGTCCCCGAGACCATTGATCGATTGACCGGTCGGTGGGAATGGGGGCGATGGAGGTGCGGTGTGGGGGTGGGGAGAGAGAGAGAGAGAGAGACTTCTGATGACAGCACCACTGCCTTTCATTTCCATCCTAACCTCCTCCAGCTCCACAATATCCACAATAATGATCCTTGCGTTCGACTTTGCGCCTATAAGTGGAGTCCTGTAGCTCAGTGGTTAGAGCACTCGCTTTGCAAGTGAGAGACCTGCGTTCAATTCCAGGCAGAGGGCGAAACCTTGGGCAAGTTTCCTTACTCCACACAGAGCCTAATAACAATCCCTCCAAAACCAAAAACAATAATAAATTGGTCATTTTCAATCTACGACTGTTTGTGGGACATTGCTGTGCGCAATTGGCTGCCGCGTTCGCCCACAAATATACAGTCAATTCACTTTACAGTGTGTTCTGTGAAGCGCTTTGGGACGTCCTCCCGACGTGAAAAGCGCTATATCAAATGCAAGGATTATTAATATTATTATTATTATAATGTTCGGGACGTTCTGCATCACGTTTTCTCTGCAGTGGAGCCACTTTGTACCTCGTAGGCGATCACGGCAGCCGACAGAGCGATGTCCCACAAACAACTATGAAGTGAGCGACTGATTTTAACCTGGGAGATTGTTGGCCAGGACACTGGGAGAGAGAGAGAGAGAGAGCGAATGAGAGAAATTCCCTTCTGTTTTCCAATAGGGCCACAAGGCCACTTTACATCCACCTGAACAGGGCACAGACGCACAGCTCACTTTAACACTGTGGGACATCACCTCCGACAATGCAGCCGATTCTCATTAGCTCAGTCTGCGCACTTACAGTAAAGTCCTGCGAAGCACTTGGAAATGTCCTCCTGACGTGATGAGGGGCTGCGTAAAATATGAATACAGTGGTTGTGTTATTAGCCACGAATGGCAAGCAGTGGGAGGCCAGCGAGACAACAGCAACAACAACAACAAAAACAAGTTGAATTTATACAGCGCCCTTCACACGGGGCAGTGTCAAAAGGTTTGTTGTGTAGCAGGAGGTGTGTGTGTGTGTGTGGGGGGGGGGTGCGGGGGTTGTGAGACTGGGGGCAGGGCAGAGCGCTAACCTGCTGGGGCACAGGCAGAGCTGTGAGCAGGTACATTCCTGGCTTAACACATCCAGCTGCCGTGCTTGACATTGCCTGCGGCTGTTTGCGAGATGAAAAGCATCTCATAAAAAGCCCAGTCTGAAGCCGAACATAACAAATTGTGGAACCGGCATTGTAAATATTTGCGCAAAAGAATTATGAAGGGAAATGGCCTTAGACAGCTATTTAACCCCATTCAGGGCCTCAACCACTTTCACCTCGGGGGTCAGAAAGTTGTGGCTTAGTGTCAGGACATTTTAGGGTCTAACGCTTGTGGTATTCCCTGAGGGGATTTTTATAGATTCCCTTCTCGCAAACTAAAGACCTTCATGTGCCTGTGTGGTAGAGGAACGTGATAATAATAATAATAATCCCTACACTTGACACAGTGCCTTTCATGTTGGGAGGACGACTCAAAGTGCTTTGCAGGATTTACTGTAAAGTGTAGTGACTGTGTGTTTTCACGTCGGGAGGACGTCTCAAAGCACTTCACAGGGTTTATTATAAAATGTAGTGACTGTGTGTTTTGAAGGCGAACCTGGCAGCCAATTTTGCACACAGCAACTTACCGCAAACGACCACGAACACAAAGTGAGCGAGAGATTTTATCTGGGAGATTATCGTACAGGACACGGGAAGAGTGCTTTGACCCCCTCCTTACCTGCCACCCACCCACCCCCCCAGCACTGTACTGGAGCGTCAGCCTAGACTACGAGCGTAAAGTCCCCAATGTGGGGCTTCAACCCACAATGTTCTGACTCACGGGGTGTGAGTGTTACTGACTGAGCCGGGCTGACATCCCTATGCTTCGCCAGTGTACTCGTGATACCAAATCTCAGGTTTATTGTTTGACAATGTGGAGCGCCCTTATGTTGGCACAGATAGTCACAGTCTAGGTGCTGGGCATAAACACTGGCTCAGTCCTCGCTGGGCTCCCTGATGTGCAATGGAACACGTCATGCAAGCCTCTGCAGCACCAGAGGGCTGAGGGATTTGAAAGATGTACTTAACCTTTACACACCTTGAGTTGATATCTATGTTATCAAGCTTATGCATGTTTAATTCCTTTCCCGGAGGAGATTCTATTCACGTCTTGTGACAGCGTTTTCCTAACCGTACACGATGTACCTTTACCTTTGTGCCAATTAGCTGAAGGCAACTTCTCTCAAAAGGGCTGCAATCCAACATAAGTCTGGACTTGTGTAGGGAGACGCGGAGACTGTGTTCATACCAGAGGGAGGCCAAGGGTTTGGCAACGTACACTGGGGGTGTGGGTGAGACAAAAGCCATGTTTGATATCACAAAACCCACCCTTTTGTTGCAATACAGGAATGGGGATAGGTGGTGGAGCCAGGCTCATAATAATATATAATAATCCTTGCATTTGATACAGCACCTTATCACGTCATTGAGACATCTCAAAGCGCTTCACAGACTATATTGTAGAGTGGAGTGACTATGTATTTCGTGGGTGAAACGCGGCAGTGAGTTGCGCACAGCAGCGTCCCGCAAGCAGTCGTGGATTGAGTGACCACAAGCGTGTGTGTGGAGTAAAGAAACCTGACTAAGAGCCAAGGTCAGCACGAATTTGTGATTCACCAGCGAGGGTTGGTCTTCTAACCTCGCACTGATCGGCAAGTTTGCAAGACATATTTGTTTGGTTTATAAAGTGTTCATGTGCTATGGTTCCTCCAGCCCCACCTCACCCCCGCCCCCTCCCCGCCTGTCGCTGCATCACACAGTGAATTCCACGCTTAAGAATATAAGGTGCAATAGAAATGCATAACCCTCGCATTCTCCCATTTGATACAATGCCTTATCACCCTGGGAGGACGTCTCAAAGCAGCAGGATTTTTACTGTAAGGTGTAGTGACTGTGTTTTGTAGACGAACACGACAGCCAATTTGGCACAGTGACATCCCGGCAAACAGCAGTGCAGTGAGCGAGCGATTTTCTTGGGTGGGGAGGGGGTGATTATCAGCCATGACATCGGGGGAGACAGAAACTTGC